CATATAAGTTCTGCATATCCATCCCAAACAGACCATTGACTGGGAGAGCGATCCTATCCACAGTAAGCTCCTTCTATGACCCTCTGGGGTTCCTTGCTCCTGTTATCTTCACAGCCAAGAGAATCCTTCAAGATCTGTGCCAGAGGGGGATAGGATGGGATGATGCTATACCATCAGCAGTTGCTCAAGAGTGGAAAAGCTGGGTAGAAGAATTGCATCTGTTGAACAACATCAGCACGGGACGATGTTTAAAACCTGATTTTGGACAGACGACCACTGCTCAGTTGCACCACTTTGCAGATGCGAGTGAGTGAGAAGGGCTATGGGGCCGTTACCTACCTGTTGCTGTACAACAGTCGCTCACAGATGCACAGTTCCTTCATAATGGGAAAATCCAGGGTGGCACCTTTAAAACCAGTCACAATCCCTCGCATGGAATTGACGGCAGCAGTGGTAGCAGTTTGCATGGATAGAATGTGGAGGAGGGAGTTGAGACTACCTCTCCTAAACTGTCTTTTGGACGGACAGCACCGCAGTGTTGAAATATATAAACAATGAGACTTCCAGGTTCCGTGTTTTTGTGGCGAACAGAGTGTCAGAAATCCTCAAGGCTTCTAGTGCCTCCCAATGGAGGTATGTGAACACCACACATAACCCTGCGGACCTTGCCTCCAGAGGTATGAAGGCAGAGACCTTTTTACGTGACACTGAATGGATATCTGGTCCTGCATTTCTTACACAGCCAGAGAACAATTGGCCTGTGAACCCAGAAAACTTACAAGAACTTCCACATGAAGATCCTGAAGTTAAGGTGTCTGCTGCCATCGAGGTCTTACAAGCACACGATGATGATCATCCTCTGACCCTTTTAATCCATCGTGCCTCATACTGGACTCGTCTCATCAGGGTGATGGGTTGGATTTTGAGGTCCAAGACATTGGACGAGGAAGGGCTCCAAACTGCTCTTTGTGAAGTGGAGTCAATCCTCAACAGTAGACCCATTACGCTGGAATCCACTGATCCAAATTATTTGGAAGCATTAACACCAAACCATCTCCTTCTTCTCAAGTCCAACCCGTCTTTACCACCTGGCCTGTTCCGCCTGTTCTACGCACGTAAACGATGGAGGAAAGTTCAATATATATCTGACCTGTTTTGGAACAGATGGACTAAAGAGTACTTGCCACAACTTCAGCAGCGCCAGAAATGGGGAAGGATTAAATGCAACTTTGTTCCTGGAGATGTGGTCCTTATAGTGGATGATTCTGCACCTCGTGGTTCATGGATCATTGGGAGAGTCACCGGAGCTGCACCAGATGAAAAGGGGCTTGTGCGTCAGGTCTGGATTAAGACCCCAACCAGCCATGTGTGCAGACCCGTCACAAAGATATGCCTTCTTCAGGAGGCCTCTGACCCATAACGATGACATTTTTGACACAGAGTGACATAACTAACTTTGAATTGACTTTAATGTTATGAGATGTACATCACAGACTGACTATATTTAGGCTAAGTGCTGGTAACCTCTGGCCTATGAATGACTGACCGCGTGCAGACAGAAGAAAAGAAGAGAAGAAATGAGAAAATAACTTTGGTGGACTTTTGAGTATGTTACGTTGTCTCACTGGGTGTCTGTGATGTGATGAAGTGTGTCTGTGATGTGATGAAGTGTGTGTTGTGAGTTATGGTGTTGGATGTGTAATTATTACTGTAAGAATGTAATAATTAGGGGCCGGAATGTTATGGATAGGCGTAGCTTTGGGTCACGTGGTGCC